TTAATTAGAACTAATGGTAACAGTGTCAAATTTAACTTTGCATCATCTTTGAATACTATTTGTTTTGGTTTGTGGTGAACAAGTTGGGGCAGCACCGAGTCCAACCCCAAAGAAATTGTGTGATTGAAACTAATTATTTGGTGGTTTTTATTTAAATACCAACAGGCCATAATGAAAATGAGCATAACTGAAATAAAACTGACGGGTCTCTTCATAGTAAACATATACGGCTGCCGCTGGTCTTCCAGCCACTCTTAGAGATGGAAACGATGAGGAAACAAACCTTTGATGTGTGCTGGTTTTAAACCAATGATGGGATGATCCCTGGTGACTGCAGCAGTCTCCATGGTAACCAATATCTCTGCCCACTGGTTTTGGTCTTTAGATGCTGTGCATGAATTCTTTTCTACCGTCACGAACGTAAACGTGTTTATCAAAGTCTCCTGGGAACTAAACTGGGCCAGGGAGCTGAGCTGGGGTCAGGGGGCGCTGACAGGACTTATTCAGCTTCATAGTGGTTCCAAAACACTGCTTTTTATCTGCAGCTGCTCCAATCTTCCAGATTCCCGGTAAACATTTTTTCAGAGGGACACAAGACATTCCTAAACCTCGTCCACACAGGACTGGTTCAGCAGACACCAACCTTCTCCAGCCGTCACAGTTCCCAGAACCAAGTCCAGTATAAAGGCAGAGGAGGCTGCTTCCAGCAGGATGATGGATCATCTCACACAGCTCTGGTTGTCTCAAACCAGTTCCAGGAGCTTTTGTTACTCCAGTAACCTCCAGAGCACAGTCCACTAGACCATCTCTGACAGGTTGGTTCGGTTCTTCTCCAGGATAAATCTATGCCATGAAGGCGGCAGGTTGTTCTAAAGACAGAAGGGGGTCCAGTCTGCTAATAATAGGGTGTACCTAATAAAGTGGACGGTGGGAATACTCAGTTAATCCGAACCAAACCCAAACACAAGCTCTTCTGGGTCAGATACCATGAGAAATAATTTAAATTTCAGGAAATGTACCTGCTCCACCTCACCACTAGATGGCACCAAAGTTACTTAAAGCTGGAAG